CACACACACACACACACACACATACCTTTTGAGAATGAAGATAAAACACTTTTTCTGATGCCAGTCTTGGGGCTTGAACTCGGGGCTTGGGCACTATCCCTGAGCTCTTAGGCTTGAACCACAGCTCCACTTTCAGCTTTTTTGGTTAGTTAATTGGGGGTAAGAGTCTTCGGACCACAATCATGCAGATCTCAGCCTCCTAAGTAGCTAGGATTACAGACATGAGCCACCTGCTCTTTTAAGACATTTTTAAAAAGAAGAAAATGGGCTGGGAAGGTGGCTCAGTGGTAGAGTGCTTGCCTCACATGCATGAGGCCCTGGGTTCGATTCCCCTAAGCAGAAAAAGCCAGAAGTGGTGCTGTGGCTCAAGTGGTAGAGGGCTAGCTTGAGCTGAAGAGCTGAGGGACAGCGCCCAGGCCCAGAGCTCAGGCCCCACAATTGACAAAATTAAAAAAGAAAAAAAAAAAGAAAGCTGAGGAAAAGTACAACATACCTAAAAGAATAAAGGAAGATGAATCAAAATGTAGTAACACAAAAGTCTGAACACCCAAAAGACTGCAGGAAAGGGAAACTAGGAGAATGAAATACAGCGCAAACATATACAAAACAAAAATACGATTGTAGACATAAATTTAAAAATATTCACACTTACTCAATTAAAGGCAGCATATTTCCATACCATATCATAACCATAAAACTATTCTAAGTGATAGTGGTAAGCAAAAAGTGAAAGATCTGGTTATGGTTGTTACCTGTAATCCTAGCATTAAGGAAGTCAAAGCAAGAAGACAGAATTCAAGACCAGTGTGGGCTACCTAATATTTCAAGACAATGTCCATTTCCCCAAAAGTAAAAAAATAGAAACATATATTCCAGGCAAACACAAGTATAAAAAAGTCAATTCTAAATGACTAATTTGTATACATTATCAGTGGAAACAGAAATGGCTCAACCATTTTGGAAAACAACTTGATATTATCTGCTAAAATGACAAATATTTCATGACCCATAATTCTACTCCTAATAAAGTAATAATAGCAAGGCATACATAGATATACCAGTAGACATATTCTACAATGTTTATAGCAGTGTGCCAATAGCCCAAATGAAAAGAACTCAACACTATCCAAAAACAGTAGAAGAGATAAAATTCAGTATATTTATACAATGGAATCCTATTCAGGGGTGAAGGCAAATACAAAGGAATCTATTCAAATACAAACAAACCCCCCATTTGCAGGGGTTAAATGGCAGGAGAACAGTGGTTTGGAGAGGAGAGAGGGAGAAATAATTGAGCTTAGCCTGGTCCTCTCCCAGGCTAGGTGATGATTTCATGATCTATATGCTTTGTGTGCATTTTCTCTAAGCATATCATATATTAATAAAGCACATGGTAGAATCCTTGCATGTCAAACGTGAGGCCCTGAGTTTGATCCCTTCCACTTGGAAAATATTTTAGCACATTTTTACAGAAATAGGAAATATGAACAGAAAAGATGCTGGACCTGTTGTAAAAAGAAAAGGAAGCCAGAAAAGAAATGCCTTCAGGATTCAAATTAGATAAACAAGTACTTACTAAGAATTCTTCCCAGAAGGCTCTTAGATGTACAACCTCATTTAATCCTCTTCATCTAACAAATGAGAAAAGCACAACTACTGATAACAGTAATCAACAGGACCGAGTATTGTGTGTGTGGTTTTTCAGGGTTAAGTTATTTAATCCTTAGTCCCAATAGGTTCATTGTGGAAGGCATTCCCTACCGCCTCACATCAGGCTTTTGACCTTGTGTCCAAGTGCATTCAACTTATAGCTCCAGAGATGGACTGGAAGGTGGAGATGTTCTTACCATTTTGATCTTCTGTACCTTACAGGATCTCACTGCTTGGGGTGTCTTCTATCCTATAGATTACTTCTGCATAGCTTAATTCAAGTGTGCTGAATTAGTGGTTACATTTGAGAAAACACAAGTTGGTTAAATGGAAGCTCATCAAGTGTGCCATCTTTTCATAACCTTTGTAGAGTCCTCAACTCTTGGTAAACCAGTTGCTTTCAGAAGAGGGGAAATGGTTCAGGCCTCACCCTCAGAATCTATGGGCTATGGCTGTATTACCATCTCCATTTCACACATGAAGAATGAGCCTGAAAAAAGACTATTTTTGCGTCTTGTTTTGCCTGCCAAGGATGGGGCAGGCTTGAGGTTACTGGGCGGCCTATCATCTTTGCTCTACCACTTTTGGTTCATTTAAACCAACTCCTCTCTTTGGCTAAGTTCCTTGCCCCTGCGCGCAGCAGGGCAGGCCTACTGATGAAGAGAGCACAGGCCTGGCCACCCCAGCCCGGGGGCGTGGGTGTGTCCAGCCCCCCCTCCACACTGCAGGCCTGCTGGAACCAAGGAGAAGAAGGACCCTCAGACTTCAGCAGACTTCGGGGCGCCAGGTCTTCCTTCAGACTGTGTCAGAACAATGAAAGGTTAGTGAAAGGTAGAGAAGCAAATGGCCGGATTTGTAGGTGAAAGGTGTAGCCAACACAGTCTGCCCTGGACCTAGCCAGGAACAAGAGTCAGGAAGGACCAGCCTGGCCCGGTGCCTGGGCTCCCGGCAGGCACCAGCCAGAAAGCGAGTAGGGGAGAGAGGAAAAGAAGAGCTGCCATTCTGGGCAGTACCAGGTGCCAAGGGTCTAGTTACTCCAGAGATCCCGAGAAGGCAGGGTGGGGAGTGGGAGGGGAAGGCGCTCCTCTCCCCGGGGTTGGAAGCGGAGGGCTGTCCCCAAGGGTGGAGAGGGAGGGACCCAGCCGGAAGCAGAGGACAAACAGACAGACAGACAGAGACAGAATTGAAGCTGGTGTGGCCATCCTTGGATCCGCTGTGTGCCCCTGGTTTGACGTGGCCACACGTTGGGGCGGCGATGCGCAGTAGTACCAGGGCGACGTGTACCGGGCCGGCGGGGCCTCGGTCGCCCACCTGGGCTCTGTGCGCACGGCCTCGCCGAGCGGCCGCGGCGGCGCTGAAGTTCCCGAGGAATCAAAGTCTTGGCCCCTGGCCTGCGGACCCCGCCCCGCCCGGGCGCCCGCCGCCCCTCCGGCCGGGGGAGCTGCGGGCTGCGGAGCGGAAGGACCTGCTCGGCGGGCACGGCTTTCCCCCTCCCAGGCGACGTCGGTCCGATGGGTGTGTCGCGCGGGAGGTGATATTTGAGGGCTGCGCCCGAGCGAGCGGAGCCCAGGCGAGCCGGGCGCGGAGAGGCGAGCGGGCGACGCAGCATGGCCTCCCGGGACCCACCGCCCGCCACCACCTACGCCCCTCCCGACGTGCCCTCGGGGGTCGCCTTCTTCCTCACCATCCCCTTCGCCTTCCAGCTGCCCGAGCTGGTGAGTGCGGCCACCTGCAGGGGAGGGCGGGCCGGGAGGGGGGAGCGATCGGAGGATGGCGCTGCGAGCCCCGGGTGGGAGGCCACAGGGCGGCGCGCCAGGTCGCCCATCGCCCCCCTGGGCCCCTGCGGTGACCCCCCCAGGGGGAGTCGCCACCCGCGAGCCCCTTGGATACCTTCGGAGAGGTTCTCCAGTGTTTTCTAAATTGTAACCTCAGCTGATTTCGAACTTTGACTCCGCAGAGGGCTTCGGTAGCCCCTGACAGCAGGTGCCTTGAATCCACCTCCAGGGACACTCTGCTTTCCCAGGAACTTGTGTCTAGTGACAGGGACACCCTGTAGACAAACGGGAGGCATCGACCATGCAGGGACTGTCTGGGCTGCGCACCCGTGTTTCAGAGCGGCTGCCGTCCCCCCTTCCCGAGGGAGGGGACACACCAGTGTATTTTGTTCTCCCCAGGCTGCTTCGGGGATGTCTAGGTTTTTTTGGGGGGGGGTAGGAGGAGTTTTCCCTCCCTCCTGGGATTTGAGAGTGCTGCTCCTGACAGGCAGGAAAAGGAAGGCACCAGTGCCCTGGCCAGCACTTGTTACTCTCAGTATCTACTTGGAAGGTGGCCCTCAACAGAGTGAGTTTAGGGAGGCCACCAATACCCACTGGAAAGGAAAGCAAGGCTGGGTGGGTCCAGCGAGGAGGTGGCTCTGGCTGAAACTCCACCCAAAAGGGAGGTTTCTGCCCAGGGCCGCTGCCCCTCCCCAGATACCACGTTGGCATTGTGCCAGACTGATGACATCTTAGTGCTCTTACACATTCTGTGTGCCAGAACCTGGGTGTGTCTCTTACCTGGAGACACACACTTGGACTGCCACAGTTGGAATTCTCTCTACCAGTTACTTTGTGTGTGTGTGTGTGTGTCCGTCCTGGAGGTTTGAACTCAGGGTCTAGGTTCTGTCCCACAGCAGTTTTGCTCAAGGCTAGCACTCCACCACTTGAGCCGCAAATCCACTTCTGCTGGATCTATTTTTGCTGGTTTATTAGAGATAAAAGTCTCATGGACTTTCCTGCCTGGGCTGGTTTTGAACCTCCATCCTCAGATCTCATTCTCCTGAGTAATTAGGATTATGGGCAATGCCCAAGTCCTACCACTTTTTTTTGTTCAACATATGCTTTTTGTCTGTCAAACAAACCAATGGTAGAAAGGAGTCCCGGGGAGTCTGTGTCTGGTCCCAGGGAGAAATAGGAGTGTTTCCATTCCAGTTGGACATGGCACCAGCCAGGAGAAATGATCTGTCCTTGGCAGATGAGGGAGGGACTCAGGCCTGTCCCAGGGACTTAGACCCAGAAGACAGGCTGTATCTCAGACTGGTGCAGATAAAGAAGAGACCAGAGTCCAGGAGAGGACACAAGGCAAGAGGGTGCAAAGATGGAGCTTCCGAATCAGGAGAGCACCCACAAAGAAAAGCATTGTGCAAGGAGTCACCATCGTGTGCCCACTGCTCCTACTAAAGGACTCTGGGGAGGAAGTGCTTGCTTCTGTGAACTCCTGGACTTAAGTATTTGGCAGAAATGGAAAACTTACCTTTGGGCCAATTATCTTCATTGTTAACTTTTATTTTTACTTTATTTTAGGTGCATCATAAAGCTACCGTAATAGTACAGAAAGATCTATCACTCAGCTTCCTATAATATCCTCAGCTTCCAGAGTATAGCTCTCTAAATCAGGAAATTAACCTGAATACTGTGCTATTGAGTATTGTATTCAGACTTTGCTCATTTCCCCCCAACTAATATCCTTTTAGTGGTCCAGGATCCTGGCTTGAATCCACGTTACATTTCATTGTCCTATCTTCCTCATCTCCTTTCACCTGGAACCTCCTTCTTGGTCTTGACCCCTGGGATGGAAACCTTTTTCCTACCCAGGGCCATTTGGATATTTATAGCATCATTCTTGAGCCATGCAAAATTCTCGGTACAGGCAGACAGCCTGGGGCAACCAAGGAGAGGACTCTGTGTCTGTCCTGCAAGTACCAAGTGATTGCTCAAGTGCCTTCCACATGTTTCCCAGCCCTGTAGAAAATGCACTATGGGCAGTGCCAGTGGTCCACTCCTGTAACCCTAGCTACTCAGAAGTCTGGAATGTAAGGATCGCAGTTCAAAGCCAGCCTGGAGAGGAAAGTTTATGAGACTTATCTCCAATTAGCCAGCAAAAAGCTGAAGTGGAGGTGTGGCTCAACTAAAGAATGCTAGCCATGAGCCCAAAAGCCAAGCAAGAATATGAGGCCCTGAGTACCAAAAAGAAGAAGAAAGGAAAAAAAAGAGCACTAAGCAGTTATTTTGTAGAGTGACCCTCCAATTGGTCTTGTCCAATGTCTCCATGTTGCAACCTTGTGTTGTGTGTGTGTGTTTGTGTGTGTGTGTGTGTGTGTGTGTGTGTGTGTGTGTGTGTGTGTGTGCCATTCCTGGGTCTTGACGTTAAGGATAGGCACTGTCCTTGAGCTTTTGTGGTCAAGGCTAGCACTCTATCACTTTCAGTCACAGCTCCATTTCCAGCTTTTTAGTAGTTAATTGGAGATAAGTCTTATGGACTTTCCTGCCTCGGCTGGCTTCAAACCATGATCCTCAGATCTCAGGCTCCTGAGTAGCTAGGATTTCAGGCATGAACCATCAGTGCCCAGCTGCAACCTATTTTTTTAATTCATAAGTAATGCTTATGTGTTGTGTCCCCTGCAGGGCCAAACCAATCTGAGAACAGATCAGACCCAAAGAGGTGGTACTTTTCCCACAGCTTCCCTAAGGCACAAGCTACCTCACAGAGGGAAGGAGGAAAGACAAGCCAGCTTCTGGCTCTTTGTGTTTCTTGAGGATGGCAGACCAGGGTGGCTTAGACTCCAAGGAGAACTATGGTTTCCCATTCTTAGCTTTCAAGTCTTCCACATGAAGACTCAAAGTTTTAAAAGTGTGTGTGTGTGTGTGTGTTTGTGTGTGTGTGTGTGTGTGTGTGTGTGTGCGCGCGCGCGCCAGAAATGAGGCTTGAATTCAGGGCCTGTATTCTGTCCTTGAGTTTCTTTTGCTCAAGGCTAGAACTCTACCATTTGCACCAGAACTCCACCTCCATCTATTTGGTAGTTTATTGGAGATGAGTCTCATAGATATTTCTGCCTGGGTTAGCCCTGAACTGTGATTCTCAGATCTCGGCCTCCTGAGTAGGTAGGATTATAGGTATGAGCCACCAGTGCCAGGTCACAGTCTTAAATGTTTTATCCTGTGATAATGATAAAGTTAGTTAAGGTTTGGGGAGGTCCGTTGTACCTTCCCTGAGCTTCCAGAATGGTGATAGCTTTCCTAACTAGAACACAGTAACAAAACCAAGAAACTGACAAGAGTCAGACAGGTCTCTATCTCTTCATTGTGGTCTTACCTTTGTAGATCTGCATAACCACCACCAAGAACCCCTCTAGCTACACTTTTGGAGTCCCAACCCCTTCCTACACCTGTTCCCTCCATTCTCAGTGGACCCCTATATATATTTGAACAACTGTATTCCTTACTTATTTCAAGAAAGTTACATAAATAAATGGAATCCTGCAGTATGAGACTTTGGGGACTGGCTTCTATTCTGCATCATGTTCTTAAAGTCCATCCAAACCATCACTTGTGTCAATAGTCCATTCCTTTTTATTGCTCATAATATTCCATGGTACAAATTTAGCATAATCTAACCAGTCATCTATTGGATGTTCCCAGTTCTTAGCTGTTCCAAATAAAGCTGCTGTAAGCATTTGTGTACAGACTGCTTGTAGGGGTGTAATTTTTACTTTTATGGAGAAAATTCCTGAGTGGAATGGGTGTCTACTTAGTTTTTATTAAGAAACTGACAACTCTTTTCCAGGGTAGCTAGAAAATCGTTTTTGCATTTTGCATGCTCCCCAGCGAGGCATAAGCCTTTAAGAATAACATTGATGTTTCACTCAAGGTTCTCTTTTATTTGGATTTCTCATTTAAAACTATTAATTTGAAAACAGTCTCCAACTGTGAGACATCCTTGACTCAATGAATCTTAAGGCAAGAACAGACATCTATTTATTTTTTCTCTGGCACCAGTTAGTGCCAGTGCTGGGCTGAGCCTGGGGTGGTACGTCAACCAGCCATGCTTCACTCTTCAGAGCCAGCCAGCTTTGCTGAGTGGCTGGGGTCACCACGGTGACTGGCCTGGGAGACGTGGATTCCTAGGCTTCATGGCAAGCTGCAAGGAGGTAGATGGGAGCTCACATCTGTGACTAGCCCCAACAAAGCTCTTCATGAATAAGTTCAAGACATCTTCTAACTTTTAACCTTTGCACCAGGACACATGTTAGATTTTTACTGGTGGCTCACACCTGTAATCCTAGCTGCTCAGGAGACTGAGATTTGAGGATCTTCATTCCACTCAAAGCCAGCACAAGCAGAAAAGTGAAACTTTCATTTTCATTTCCCATAAGCAACGACTCCTTCAAACAATACTTCCCACAGCCTGGGCCTCCACACCACCAGCTGGGCCCCAGAGGAGAACCTCAGGGCTCCCTGTCCAGAGGGGCCTGAAATCATATATTTGGGGCTCTAGAACCTTCTGACCTATTTCTGAGAAGCCTATCTCAGCCCCAGCCTTTCGACCTCTGCCCTGATCATAGTCCCCAAGCCCCACCCTCCTGGATCTTTTCTCTGCCTAGGTAGTACTGGGGTGGATATGGGGGAGGGGTATTTACTTACACATCACCCATTCTGATCACACATTTTTGTACCAGGGTGGTAGGGTGTCCCAAGATGATGAGGGTTGTAGAAAGGAAATGGAGAAGAGGCAGAAAGGCGGGGGGGGGGGGGGGGGGGGGAGGAGGATTCTCTGGGGAATCTTGCCTGCTCTCTGAAGGGAAGATTCCTACCCCCTCCACACAGGCACTACTAGCAGAACTTTTAGGCCCTGGGAGGTAGTGAATCTGGAAGTGGATGGGAATGAAGCAATGGGCATC